AAAAAAAAAAAAAAAAAAAAAAAAAAAAACACTTTTCTGACAAATCACATTTTTAATAACTATAGGCAATAAGTGGGAAAATTTCATATTTTTTAATAAAAAAGTAACTACATGTACCTGCACTGATACTAAGGTTACAACTGACTTACTAAACATGATACATCAGTGAACAATGAGCTGAGTTACTTTGTAGATTTGCCTTTATTACCATTAATATACAATTCAATCTGTTCATTTCCTTACATATGAGCAGGGGTGCAACGTTCAGGTTCAGAAACTACAGATCCAGACCAGGATTTTGTTTCAATCAACCAGTTGAGCATAAAAAGTCACATGCGCAGAGTACTCAACTGGTTGGTCGGAACAAAATCTCGGTCTGGATTTCTACTTTCTGGACCTGAACTTTCCACGTCTGCATATGAACTATGGGTTATTTGAATGGCGCACCCTGAGGCAGCCTCTGCGAAAAACCACACAGCGAGGAGATTCCCACCCTGTCGCTTGTCAAGGCGATGGCATTCCCCCAGAAGTGAAACACACTGGCGACGTCACAGCCCTAGACCCCGGCGTTTGGTCTCTCTCCTCCATCTTTTGATACAGTGGCGTCCACAGTGCGCTTCCTGAGGATGCATACAGAGGTAATGCGATCAGCGCAGGAATCAGACATCTCGCAACAAATCACTGAAGCGATTTATTCAATACAGTGCTCGCAAACTACCAATAGTAAAATAAACTGGGTCCAGGAATTATAAAATTATTTCAGTTCCTGGATCTGTATGAAATGCCAGAGGGGAGCTTGAATCCTGAACCTCTTTGGAGTTTGACCCTACTGCTTACTAACCTGGGTTTCCCAGAGGTCAGGAGGAGGAGGAGGGGGACTTGGGTGGAGAGGCAAGGGGACTGGGAGAGGGAGTAACATCACTACGGCAGCTTGCATGTGTCAAAAAACACAAAAAAAAAAACAAATGAAACTTATAAGCAAACACAGAATACCCCATTAGCTATAACTTCCAAACTGCTAATCAAGTACACAGCATTAACTGTAACTGTGTGTAATTTAAGCAATTATGTAATATATTCTGTTCTATAAAACAGGGGTTATCAACATGGGTTCATGACCCCAGGGGGCCCGGACTGCGCTGACAAAACCGGCAGTATCACCTACATCACACAATGCTCAAAATACTAAAGCGGGCCCCCTCTGGTCACACTGAGAGAGATTCAAGGGGAAAAAAACGTGTTAAAGCCCCATCCCCCCCCAGATCATAATTCTTAGTTACGTAGCAGTTGAAGGTCCTTAGCTCTGGTCAGTTTTCATTTGGGGGTCCCTGGTTCAAAAAAGGTTGATCTGGGCGTAAATGGAAAAAATAGCTAATGGGACATAATGTAACCGAAACAAAGTGCATGAATAAATTAATAAAGAACTTAGAAATGGATTGTGATACACGCTGAGCTAATGTAACTAATTAAAAATGTGTTAACATAAAAAGCAATGCTTGTTCCCACAATGGTTTACATAAAGACAAAAAAAAGATGAGACATTCTGGTACATCCATCCATTTTCTGAAACTGCTTATCCTATTCAGAGTCATGGGGGGGGGATCCAGAGCCAAACCTGGAGGCTACGGGTGCAAGGCACGGAACCACCCAGGATGGGACGCCAACCTATCGCAGGGCACACTCACACACTCGCGCATGCACGCACACCTATGGGCAATTTGCCAACCGGAGTATCCAGAGGAAACCCACAACGACACGGGGAGAACATGCAAACTCCACATAAAATATAACCCTGGCGGAGACTCGAACCCGGGTCCCAGAGGTGTGAGGCAACAGTGCTGACCACTGCATCACCCCACTCTGCTGGATATATATATATATATATATATATATATATATATATATATATATATATATATATATATATATATATATATATATATATATATGCATGCATATTTTTTAAGGTAGCAAAATACTTTACTTTACAAAGATATAAATTTACACCTTATTATATTTATGTGTAATTTCTACAATAGATCTTAAAAAGTATGTTGAAATTCTTGATGGACTAGATTTTGAGAAAGCAGATGGACAGCCGTAGTGTTACTGAAAACAAATGTCATAAAAACTCATCTGTCACACAACTTACAGTGTTGATTAAAACTGCGTATAAATATGATAACGGCATCAGCCAGACTTCTAGGCTCGATAGACCCATCTGATTGGCTAATAAAGGCTTGATTCACTGAATACAGTAAGACCAAAGGTACTGCTTGCCGAGCGTCAACAGTGCAGGTAACAAGCATCCCGGCATAGACTACCTGCGCCCTTGGGCTGTGCTGATGTGGTCTTTCAATGTTATCGCTTGATGGAGCAGCCCCTCGATGCTCTTGAAGTAGAAGCTGCTATTAGCCATGCTTTTGACAGCGCTACACACACAAAAGAAGGGAAAATGTCAGCAGAGCATCAGCTGCAGCAGAACAGGTTTACAAATTGCATTGGCGTAACGGATTCATCGTCTCTTTACCTGCAGGCATACTCCACAGTATAGATGGCTCCTTGACTCTGTTCCTCCCAGCTTTGCATATCGGTCTAAGAATCGAAATCACGTGATATTAGAAAAAAACAACAAATATTAAGTTTTTCACTTATTTATATTTGTGCCTACACCGGAACGTATAGGCAAATACATGCATTAAGAGCAAAAAAAAAAAAAAAACAATCGCGGTCTCGTCTAAGTTTAAGGTAGCTGGTCAGGTGCCTAATTAAAATATAATATATATTATAAGACACTCACTTTATGCTGCACCAGCTCCGGGAGAGATCTGCGAACGTGTTCTTGTAGTCGGTAAAGTGCCACGGACGGCTCGTTAGCAAGTACATACATACTCTCGGTAAATTTGTCGGTTACTGTAAAAAAAACAGAAAATTTAGCCCACTTAAACGAAGACAGCAACGTTTGTAATGCAGGTAGCTAACTACGAATTACCTCTCTTTACTTTAAGCTGCATCTCCTGATCTTCCATGGTGAATCTGCAAACAGATGTTGCTCAAAAGAACATAACACAGAGCGAAACATAACATTAAAAAAATAATTCCAACTAGGTCCTGGTTCAGAGCAGTGTGAAGCTGGCAAGAATAAGGGGGAGACTTCCGGTTGCTTTCCGCTTATTGTGTCAAAATAAAAGTTCGGTATCCATATGCGATTAATGTATTTAAATATAAATTATATGCATGAATAATAAAAATCGCCGTGATATATTAAACTGACATCAACGTATTCAACGAGAGACAAAAGAATACGTATTAATTAATTGAGAAAATTATACTGCATTTCACTTATTTTAAAACATATTAATATTGATTCAAATATTAATTTCAATATTTCTAGTCTAAAAAGATATATTTGCTATGTTGTCAAAATGTTCTACTGTAAAAGCTGTTCAAATATATATGGCATTGCTGTTTTTATATAAAAGTAAGCATACATCTACTTGGTTCTAGTTCTGACCAGGTAGAACTATAGGTTAATGGACACCTGTACAGTGGAGTTGAAGGTGAATGGATGATTATTGGAGAAACGTATTTTCATGTTGACCTATGCATACTTTAAACACAGCTCAGTGACTTTTATTTTAAAAACAATAATCTATGAAATCAAAATCAGTACTGAGAACCGGAAGTTAATGTTGGACAAGTGCTCGTTGTATTACGGTTTGACTTGAAACATCAACATGAATAATTAGTTCCTCACAGTGAAAGCGTAGGCTACACACGCACTTTAAAGATTAAGATTTGAGATTAAGATTAACTTTATTAATTCCAGGGGGAAATCCTGGTGAACACAGCAGCAAGAGGATAATGCGCACTAACATACATATAGTGCCAAACAGACAACGTGCAAAGTGCAAACAAGTAAGTGCAAGTTTAAAATGCACACAATATACAAACGGATGCAGTACTGTAAAAATAGAATGTGTTATTAAAAATATTTAAAGATTAAAATAATAATTGTGTGCAAATTAATTATGTATGCTAGCACATTAAGCAACAGATTATATTATAACAAGACAGAATGCTTTCTTACGTGTTACGGCTGTGGATGGGGAGTGAGGAATTAGACGAACGGATAGCGCCCCCTGCAGCGGATTGGCATCATTGTTCATAATATTGTCCAATTTTGCCAACATCCTCTATTCTACTACTGCCGCCAGTGGGCCTAAGGTCAGGTTCAGGCGTTTGGTATCGCCTAAACTAATGGCACACAGCATGGAAAAGTACGTACACTTCATGGCCACTATGGACTAATAAAACATAACTAACAAAACTAACAAACATGAAATTTGCTACATAAGTTACACGACCTAAGTCAACTAGGAAAGAAGAGTCTGCTGTAGTCGTTCTTGTACAGCGCTTGGTGCTAATTTACACTTCTCATTGTTTCATTCTTACAGAATATTCGATATCTTTCATCAGGTGCAATACCTGCCTTTAACTAGCCATATATCGTCTTGTATCACGCATCCCTTTTCTTAAGCCTGGAATAAAATGTTGAGAGCGTAAAGAAACATAATATCACAAATAAAATGAAGTCAGAAGTAATGTAAGTGAACAGATTTTTTTTTAAAAAGAATATACTTCAGATTACTTGCAATCTTTGTTACACACCAAATTAGCCCGGCAGAGGGCAGTGTTGTACTGCTAAATTAATATTTCTCGTTCCGTTAAACCCAGAAACTAAAACGAATATCATTTTTAAAAGGTATTTGAAGCCATCATTGAAATTACAAAGAGATCGTTGGTACCTAGAAGGTGTCCCACAGAGTAATGGCTGCTACTGCCAGTTGGTGTCGGTTTATTCTTTTGATAAATAAGGAAATTACATGTTTTTTGGCAAGTTATGGTGTATAAAAATATTTTATAAAGAATTTTATAATCCATTATTTCTGATGTGTTCGTACTGTTTCATTATATCCAGTTTTACTGTGGACCTAGAGGTGAATTAATGTCGGCTGGATCAGCGATCAGGTGCAGTTAACAGATGCGTTAGACCTTAAATGACCATTACGTGCTTCTTGGCGGGAAAACAAGTAGAAAAGGTAATGTTCAGGTGTAAAATTGTTAGTTTGTAAAATGCCTTATGAACGCATTAAGAAATGTATGTATTCTATATTTAAGTTTCTGCATAGTTTACATCTTGAATATTTTCAAGAGTGGAAATTATTCAAAAGCCATATTTAGTTTCAGCATGATCCTCACATCTCTTCTGTATTTGGGAGGGGTGTGCTGCTCTGTGTGTGTGTGTGTGTGTGGGGGGGGGGGGTGTCCTAGCTTTATAAAAGACCTTGTTTTATACCCTCAAGCCCTTGTATCTCTGGACCAAGCTCTGAACTGTGGAGCCGAAGCATGATTATGAAATGTTCCTCAGCCCCCACTGGGAAGACATTTGTTTGAAACGAAAATTCCACTGGTTCCAGATGGAGGCGCAGTTACAGAGTGCAGTGTGACCTCTGCTTTCTCAGTAGCCTAAATGCTGTAGCAACTGTAGTCAGCTTCTGGTGAGGCATTTGTAATCAAAAGGGGTCCGGTGGGTTTGTGCTATGGCCAAAGCCTGTGTATGTGGAGCTGGGACGTGGATGTCACACCCTCTATTCCAATCCCACAATTCAAAGCAGTCAGATATGGTCACAGAGTTTAATCACTGCCCCTGACTGCACAGATTGTCCAGATGTACTGGCTCGTTAATTGTTCCGGTGTTTGTCTGAGAGTTTGCCAACTCCTCAGCACCCAGGTGAGACGCTCTCCACTCTTGCCCTGCTCTAGAAGTCCAGCGAACTCGCTGACAGTTTAATGAGCTCACCCTATTATTTGTGCTTCTAGATAACGCTGCTCTTTGTGACTTGAATATCTAAAAGGCTACAAAGTGTCAGATAGGCATTCGCTCTTGGGGACATCGAGGCGGCCTCAGATGGTGACACGTTTTGTTTTGAATGCCAGTCGGTTTCCTGTGAGAATAATTTCATTTCTTCAACATTTGGTCGCTACTGAAACTCTGTACTGCCCTTGATATGCTCTTCAACATTAACACCAACCACTGACACGCAGCCTTCTGTTACGGGTGGGTGGAAGACAAAAATGCATGAGTAAACAAAATGTCCAGCTCAATAATTAACATTACACCAGATCCTTCCGCTGTTTCGGTATCGAATTGCACTTTAAATTAACATGTTAACCAGTGAAACACATCCATTAGCACCTTCATTTCGAAACCCGAGCTGGGGGGGGATGGGGGTAATGAAAAATAATACATTTTTAACTTCTATTCACTTCTTTGAGGTCGAACCAACAGCGGAGGCAGAAATCACAGCATGGGGGGGGGAGGGGGGGGGGGCGGCAGAAAATCAGGTGGGCCAATCCCATAACGATCCACTTGGCGTCAAAATCACACTACAGACGGCACTGCATTTTATATTATCAGTTTTTAAATGACCC